GAACAATTAGGCAGCGATCGAGCGGGGGGGCTGTCTGCCTCTGAAACCCTGACCCAGTTCTTTGAATCAATCCAGTAGCTCCCATCTTTTTTCCTTCTCTATCATTCTCTCTTCTCATCTCTTTCCTATCTATATTTTCTCATTTTTTATTCAACCTAAGGACCCGGATTCCGCAGGAAGCAGGATACCTGAAATAATTTTTTAGCATTCCTAACACTATATGGCTGTCAGATACCCTATAAACCATCCCATAACAACCGTTTAAATGGTTGTATGTATCGAAGTTATAAATTGTGGTGAAATATACTAGCTGGTATTATAGCCAAAAAAAAAACAACTGAAATCTTTCCTTTTTTGGTACAGGAAATACGACTTCTTGTTGAAGAAGGGACCAAACGTAATGCAATAACACCTCTTTCTTTTGCGGGTTGCAAGATCCTTATGAATTGAGGAGGTGGAATATCTTCTTTGAATTCCAGGGTGTAGCCTGATGACACTATGGCTTTTACCCACATATCCTGAATCTGACCTCCAGGCTTTCTGGAAGTGTAAGAGTCTGGCACCTACTAGGGAAGACCATGCGGAAAACTGCCCTGTTTATTGGAACGAAAGGAAGTCAAAGGATTCTTGCCTCTGGATACTTTTGCTGATTGACCACTTCTCCAGCTAGTGTTCCTAGAATATTTTCTACCAGGTCTATAGGCCTTACTATCCCTATAGGAAGTACGCTCTCTGTAAGGTCTACGGTCTGGAAGTGGTTTCCTTGGTCTCATATCCTGTGGAAGAAGGACCTGTTTGGCATCTGCTGCTCTCCTAATGGCCTCTTATTATTATTATTAATATTATGTTATTATTTATATAGCACCAACAAATTCTGCAGCGCTTTACAGTACGTGGACAAACAAACATGTAGTTGTAACCAGACAGGTTGGACACACAGGAACAGAGGGGTTGAAGGCCCTGCTCAATGAGCTTACATGCTAGAGGGAGTGGGTTAAAGTGACACAAAAGGTAAGGATAGTATTAGACTAATGACAGTTGCAAGAGAGGAATCAGTCGGGAGCTATAAACAGTTTAATTGATACGCTTTTATGAAGAAGTGGGTTTTTAAGGATTTTTTGAAGGACTGGAGACTGGGTGAGGATCTAATGGAGGAGGGAAGTGAGTTCCACAGGAACGGTGCAGCCCTCGATAAGTCTTGAAGGTGAGCATTAGAGGTGGGAGTACGGACAGAAGATAGACGTAGGTATTCAGCGGAGCGTAAGGGCCTAGACATACATAGGTGGGAGCAGCATTATGTAGAGATTTGAAAGCAAGAACCAGAATTTTTAATTGAGCCCTATATCTTACAGGAGGACATTCCCTAGAAAGGGTAAGGCACATACATTGTGTTTGGATGCAATTCCTGCTCCCCAAGATCTCAATCATAGGGCTCTTTTTGTGGATACTGATTATCCCATAGGTTTAGAAAGGACCTTGATAAGGTCTGTAGAGGCCTCCAAAGCCATTCACTGGCCAATTTAACATCTTTCAGGGACTCAGGGATGTGGTGCCTTTTTACACCTATATCCAGGTCTGCCTCTATATCCATTATCCAGGCTTTCATAACTCCTGACATGGCAGAAATGGCTACTGCTGGATGACAGCCTAAGCCTGCTGCAACAAATAATTTTGAAAGGTTGGCGACAATTCCCTTGTCCATTAGATGTCTAAGAGAAGCATTACTATCAGTAGGTAGTGTGGACTGTTTAGCCACATTAATAACTGGTGCATCAACCTTGGGATTAGAGATCCAAAGTTTAGAATCCCCTTCATTAATTGGATATAGTTTCGGGAGACGTGATTGTAAGGAGAATCTTTTCTCTGAAGTGGCCCATTCTGTCTTCATAAGCTCCTTAATGGATTTATGTACTGGAAATGAGACTCTTTTGCAGCTCAGATCCCCAAAATATTTGTCTGAAGCAGATGAAATCTCCAAGGTTCTCCTTACTAAGGAGATCAGATGCTCCACGGCCCTGGAGTCCAAAGGACATTAACTGCTGGAAAATTCCTCATCACCGGAGGAAATCTGTTATAATTCCCAAGATTCTGCCGTACCTTGTCTCCTCTGATGATGATGATTCCCATTGGGAAGGAATCTTGTCTAGGCCTCTGGTCTATAGTAGATTCGGCAATCCCTTCTGACCACTGCCTGCTTTATCCATGAGGCTATATCTTGTGCAGAGGTTGAAGCCTGGGGTGCCTGATGTTGTTCAGATTCACCAGCAATTAGGGTCTGGCATTTCCTGCAAAGCCTGCAATTTTCCAAAGGCCTTGCTCCACATCCTGGGTAGGCCACCAGCTTCTCCGTGATGGAGATCTAGGGCCTGACCGGTCTTGAGGGCTGTTGAAATAGAAGTCACAAAAGACTGTTCCCTTTGTGCATCCAATATTCATATGCAGAGATAAGCTGAAAACTTTCAAAACTTTAATTTGTAAATTTTGTGCCTCTGCACCTTTAAATCTTCGCGAATGCATGAACCGCCCGAAATGACCCGACTGCCATCTTGAGAATTGACAAACTGGGATCAGTCGCAACCGCGCTATTTGTGCATGCGGACGAATTAAACATACAAATGGCCTCGTTCGTGAGTGGTGTTTGCGCATGCGTGAATTAAATACTGAAATCGGCAAGCAAACTTACCAGACCTCCTGAAATTGCCTGTGAGTCCCAGAGCTCTTCAGGAACACTATAGATATTCTGAGTCCAGATGATCCCATGCTGCACAGCACCATCTACACGGAGGTGGGCTACATGTTAACCTGGAGCTTCCTGGGCAGCGAGACTGACCTGCCCAGGGTAAAGACTACATAAATATGCGCATTAGGTCTCCGCCCCCTGCAGCCGCGCATGCTCATAAGGTCTCCCCCGCCAACGTTATTCGGAGCGTGGGAGTACCCTGACCCAGCGCTGAGGGATATCAGTGCTGGGTACAGGTATGTCACTGAAGGGGTTTTAACCCCTTAGCAACATGGGATGGGGGAAGGGAGGGAGAGGGGACCTGCAGTGCCAGGAAAACGGTTTGTTTTCCTGGCACAGGAGAGTCCCTTTACGTTTTTCTCTGTCTTATTGGTTAGAGGGAGGAGGTAACCCCATTGGTTAAATGCTGCCATGATTAGCCAGGAAAACCTTATTTTGGATATTCCTTAGATGTTAACTGATTCTCACTTTTAATGGTCTAGTGGTCCTCCCCACATACTGAAGACCACATTCACATGTTAAAAGATAAATCCACTATACACTCTGCATCCAACACGCATATTGCATAATTTGGGGTCTCACATTTCTGAGTTTGTTCTTATTTCTTTAAAAAAATTTTTTAAATGATCTCACCATGATTTTAACCCCTTAAGGACGGCGGGCGTGCTGTGCCATCCATGGGGACCCGGCTCTAAACGCTCGTCGGCGAACCCATGACGGCGATTGCGATGGGGGGATTTACCTGCCATGCCAGGGAGTCACTGTACCTATATCAATCAACATAGTGAGCAAAATAAATGTCCTAGCCTGAAGAGGACATGAGACTACAAATATACTAGAAAAATGAAATACATTTATTTTGCTCATCATGTTGATTGATATAGGTACAGTGATCAGGAAGCCATTTTTTGAATTTATACTCTATGTAGATATTATATCCTCAGCTCTGACCAATGTATATTATTTGTTTATTTATTTGCCCACTGTTTATTACAATCTGCTCAGTATTTACTGTATATATTATATTTAATGCATACTTAAATACCTACTATGTAATAGTTTTTTTGTTAAAATTTAGCATGTTGGACATTTCACAACATAATATTCCCTTTTTGGATTATAGGAAGCTGTCACTCTCTTTTTCTCCCACTTTAGTTTGTTTGTTCTCACTACTGATTTCACGCTGCATTTTTTTCACACAGCTCACTTGCACTCCGCTGTTTCACAGGCTTCCTATCTTCCGTTACCATCCTCCTCTCAGATAGATCAACTCATACATGCACTCTATACTAACCGATCTACACTGTTTAAGTTTTTTGTTGTTAGATTAGCGGCATGGTTTCCATGGTTACATCACGTGATCACGCTATTCATGTCATTCCCACACTTCCGGGTTTCCAGTCTGGGCTGGGGAGTTCACCTCACATACATTGGTAAGTTTATTTTACCCTTATCTATAAATACACTGTTGTTATACATGTTTTTTGATCTTGAGAAAGACCTGAATAGGTCGAAACATTGATCATCTTGTTTGCACAATAAACCAGAAGCACAATATTATGCCCAGGAGTGCACCTTTATTTTTTATTTTTTTTATATATATATATATATATATATATATATCTCAAATACACATAGAATGAAATAATATATATATCCATATACATAAGTATATACATAAATATCACTATATACAGTACCTTGCAAAAGTAACCCCCCCCCCCCCACCCCCCTTGGCATTTTTTGTGTTTTGTTGCCTCACAACCTGGAATTAACATGGATTGTTTGAGTATTTGCATCATTTAATTTACAGAACATGCCCACAACTTTGAAGATGTTTTTTTTTGTTTGTTTTTTTATTGTGAAGCAAACAACAAATAGGACAAAATAACAGAAAAAGTCAATGTGCATAACTATTCACCCCCCTAAAGTCAATACTTTGTAGAGCCACCTTTTGCGGCAATCACAGCTCCAAGTCGCTTTGGATAAGTCTCTATGAGCTTGCCACATCTTACCACTGGGATTTTTGCCCATTCCTCCTTGCAAAACTGCTCCAGCTCCTTCAAGTTGGATGGTTTGCGCTTGTGAACAGCAATCTTTAAGTCTGACCACAGATTTTCTATTGGATTGAGGTCTGGGCTTTGACTAGGCCATTCCAACACATTTACATGTTTCCCCTTAAACCACTCAAGTGTTGCTTTAGCAGTGTGTTTGGGGTCATTGTCCTGCTGGACGGTGAACCTCCATCCTTGCCTCAAATCACGCACAGAGTGGTACAGGTTTTGCTCAAGAATATCCCTGTATTAAGCACCATCCATCTTTCCCTTAACCCTGACCAGTTTCCCAGTCCCGGCTGCTGAAAAATATCCCCACAGCATGATGTTGCCACCACCATGTTTCACTGTGCAGATGGTGTTCTTTGGATGATGTGATGTGTTGGGTTTGCGTCAGACATAGCGTTTTCTTTGATGGCCGAAAAGTTCAATTTTAGTCTCATCAGACCAGAGCATCTTCTTCCATACATTTTGGGCGTCTCCCACATGCCTTTTCGCAAACTCAAAGCATGCCATTTAGTTTTTTGCTGAAAGTAATGGCTTTCTTCTGCCATGAAGCCCAACTCTATGGAGCATATGGCTTATTGTAGTCCTATGTACAGATACTCCAGTCTCTGCTGTGGAACTCTGCAGCTCCTCAAGGGTTATCTTAGCTCTCTGTGCTGCCTCTCTGATTAATGCCCTCCTTGCCGTGTCCATGAGTTTTGGTGGGTGGCCGTCTCTTGGCAGGTTTGTTGTTGTGCCATGTTCTTTCCATTTGGTTATGATAGATTTGATGGTGCCCCTGGGGATCATCAAAGATTTGGATATTTTTCTTTTATAACCTAACCCTGACTTCTCAACAACATTGTCCCTTACTTGTTTGGAGAGTTCCTTGGTCTTCATGGCAGTGTTTGGTTAGTGGTGCCTCTTGCTTAGGTGTTGCAGCCTCTGGGGCCTTTCAAAAAAGGTGTGTATATGTAATGGCAGATCATGTGACACTTAGATTGCACACAGGTGGACATCATTTCACTAATTATGTGACTTCTGAAGGTAATTGGTTGCACCAGAGCTTTTTATGGGTTTCATAACAAAGGGGGTGAATACATACGCACATGCCAATTTTCTGTTTTCTATTTCTAAAAAATAGTTTTATGTATATATTTTTCTCATTTCACTTCACCAACTTAGACTATTGTCTTCTGATCCATCACATAAAATTCAGATTAATATAACATTGAACTTAAGGTTGTAATGTAACAAAATAGGTAAAAAAAAAAAAAAAAAGTCAAGGGGGTGAATACTTTTGCAAGGCACTGTATATACACACAAATAAAAATGATTAAAATAAATAAATAAAAAAATAAAAATATATATATATATATATATATATATATATGGATTAAATAAAAGTTAAATTTTATTAACTATCACAAAGACCTTGGAGTGTGGTCCTTTCTACTATATTTACATGATTTTGCCAGACCTGCACCGGGCATTAAGAATTTAACCAGGAGTGCAAGTCCTTGTTACATATATATATATATATATATATATATATTAATTATACGTATATATTTATGGAATATTTTTACATAAATTAGGCAATTTTATTAATTACAATTTGTGGGACCTGCTTGACAACCCAGGCCGAAAGTCCAGGGAATTAAAAATTTGCTAGCACTATATTTAACCCTGTAACTTTCCAAGACACCATAAAACCTTTACATGGCGGATGCTGTTTTACTCGGGAGACTTCGCTGAACACAAATATTAGTGTTTCAAAACAGATTAATGTATTACAACGATGATATCAGTGAAAGTGAAATTTTCTGAATTTTTCACACACAAATGGCACTTACACAGACGATATAATTGTTGTGATACATTTTACTGTTTTGAAGCTTTAATAATTGTGTTCAGCGAAGTCTCCCGAGTATAACAGTACCCCTCATGTACAGGTTTTATGGTGTTTTCAAAAGTTACAGAGTCAAATATAAGGCTTGCATTTAATTTTTTTCACATTGAAATTCGCCAGGTTGGTTACATTGCCTTTGAGACCTTATGGTAGCCCAGAAATGAGAATTACCTCCATGATGGCATACAATTTGCAATAGTAGACAACCCAAGGTATTGCAAATGGGGTATGTCCAGTCTTTTTAGAAGCCCCTTAGTGAGAAACACTGGCCAAAATTGGCGTTCAAATTAGTTTTCTGCATTTTTCATACACAAACAAATATTAATGCTAACTTTGGCCAGTGTTTGTGACCAAGTGGCTACTAAAAAAGACTGGAAATACCCCATTTGCAATACCTTGGGTTGTCTACTAAAGCAAATGGTATGCCATCATGGGGGTAATTCTCATTTCTGGGCAGTGGCGTACACACAACCCAACTGATCCATGCCCCCCCCCCCGCGCGCTTACTCTGCACAGGCTGGGGTTGCAACACATGGCGGCGGGCACCTGGTCGCAAGGCTGCGACCCCTGCGACAGCGGTATGTACGCCAGTGCATGCAGATACACATACACTTAAAGGACCACTACAGACACCCAGATCACATCAGCTCAATGAAGTGGTCTGGGTGCCAGGTCACTCTAGTTTTAACCGTGCAGCTGAAACCCCTCTAGTTTTAACCCTGCAGCCTCTAGTGGCTGTCTCAATGTCAGCCACTAGAGGAGCTTCTGCAATTCTCACTGTGAAAATCACAGTGAGAAGGCACTGAACGTCCATAGAAAAGCATTGAGTAATGCTTTCCTATGGGTGGTTTGAATGCACGCACGGCTCTTGCCACCCATGCGCATTCGGAGCTGAGAGGCGGATCGGGGCGGAGAGATCCCCAGCGCCAAGGGAGTCCGGCGCTGGAGAAAGGTAAGTGCTTAAAACACACACACACTCTCATGAACAGACGCATACACACTAGCTAACAGACACACACTCAGTGACAGTCAGACACACACTCACTCACTTACAAAACACACACTCACTAACAGACGCACACAAACTAACACACTCAGTAACAGACACACACAGTAACACACTCACTGACACACTCTAACACACACACACACACACACACACTCTAATACACACACCCTGTAACACTAACACACAAACACACTCTAACACCAACACACACTAACACTAACACACACACTCTAACACACACGCTCTAACACACACACTAACACACACACTCTAACACACACACACACTACCACTAACACACTAACACACACGCTCTAACACACACACACACACTCTAACACACACTCTCTAACACACTAACACACGCACTAACACACACACTCTAACACACACTCTCTAATGCACACACTAACACTAACACACACGCACACACTAACACGCACACACTAACACTGAGTGCTTCCTGTTCAGCTCCCTCGCGCGTCGTATACTGATACCGGAGCCTGCCCACCGGGTGACACCAGGGCCAGCCTCGGGGGGCCCTGAGGTGGCCGGCTCCTGGGCCCCCCAGGAGAAGAGGCTGGCCACACTGGCATACATACCGGGTCACAGGACGGCTGGGCCGTAGCCACGACCCCGGTATGTACGCCACTGTTCCTGGGCTACCATACGGTCTCAAAGGCAACGTAACCAATCAGGCGAATCCCAATGTAAAAAAAATTGAAAAATGTAACATGCTATATTTGACCCTGTAACTTCCCAAAACACCATAAAACCTGTACATAGGGGGTACTGTTTTACATGTGAGGCATCACTGAATACAAATATGTGTATCTTATTGCAGTAAAAGCAAACAGTATTATGACATTCACAGTTAAAATGTCACGTAGAACTAAAAAAAAAATAACAAAACTTCTTATTTTATCCCATTTTTAAAATATTTTATTCATATTAAATTATGTTTCATAGCTAAATATTTGATGTTAAATGAAAGCCCTGTTTCCCCTGAACAAAATTATATATAATAAGTGTTGGTGCACTTAATATGAAATAGGTGCAGCGGCGTACATAACGCGGTCGCAGGGGTCGCAGCTGTGACCGGGCCCTTCACTTCAGGTGGCCCGGCAGCCCTGCGGACCCTGCGACTGGGTACCCGCCATCATCATTTGCGCCCCCGGCCCGCGTAGCAAACCACAGGGGGCCACCCGATGGATATGGATTGTCAGGGGGCCCGGTCAGCACTGGGCGTTTTAACAGCGCGACCGGGCCCCCTGTGATGACATCACACACTGGGAGGAAGTGACTGCACGTCACTCCTCCCAGCAATCAGACAGAGCCCGCGCGGGAGGAAGCAGAGGCCACTCTGACTCCCATCAAGCTGAGCCACCACTGGACCCCAGCAGAAGTCACCCTGCTGCACCTAAAAGGTAGGAAACAGGTGGGTGACTTAAATATTGTGTGTGTTTGTTTGTATGTATGTGTGTGTGTGTCTCTGTCTGTCTCTATGTATGTGTGTCTTGTGTGTGTGTGTGTGTGTGTGTGTGTCTGTATGTGTGCCTGTCTGTTTGTATGTGTCATTGTATGTATGTGTGTGTATGTATGTATGTGTGCCTGTTTGTTTGTATGTATGTGTCTGTGTGTGTGTCGGTCTGTATGTATGTGTGCCTGTCTGTTTGTATGTATGTATGTGTGTCGTGTGTATGTGCCTGTCAGTTTGTATGTATGTGTGCCTGTCCATACGTATGGGTGTCTTCATGTATGTGTGTGTCTCTATGTATGTATGTGTGTCTCTATGTATGTGTGTGTGTGTGTCTGTCGGGGGGAGGGAGTGGGGGGAAGAGGTGGGGGCTGGAGGGGGGGCACGGATCAGTTTCGCACCGGGGCCCCATGGATTGTGTGTACGCCACTGAAGAGGTGAATTACGCTTGAACAGACATATAGTCAAATTCCAGGTTTTGTTTACAACGTGTACATTTGGCTCAGTCCTTAAGGGGTTAAATATTTTGAGATAAACATTATTGTTTTTTATTGTAATTATTGCTGTTTGTTTAAAATTCTTTTGCAGTTTCTTGCTACTGGTGAAAATGTTGTAATAAATCATAATGTCCAACTTCCTTACTTTGTATGACTGCTAATTGCCATTAGCCTGCTAGTGTGACATATCTGTGCAATAGAAAAGGATGTACAGCAGCTGTTATACAAGAAGCAGTGATTTACTGCTAGAAAAAAATACTATCCCAATAACCTTCTATTATATATCATGTAGTTCTCAGTAAGCTGTAATACACACATTAAAGAAAATGGTGGACAGAAAGACAACACCTCAAGCCGGAGAGAAGATGTGAAAAATTGGGATATATAAACTGGGCTTTGTAGTAGTAAGAGCTAGTGCCTATATTACAAAGAGAAAATGCTACTTAAAGGGACACTCCAGGCACCAAAACAACTTTCATACATTTGATAGATTTTGGCCTTATAAATATGCTGTATTTTTTGCTTGCTCAAAT